TTATTATTATTATTATTATTATTATTATTATTATTATTATTATTATTATTATTATTATTATTATTATTATTATTATTATTATTATTATCTGCAAAGGCAATCAGCTTGTTTGGTATTTTTGTGTTTCTGAAATGACAAGTCTTTGAAAATCTATGTACTGTCACACAGGGAGGGGGATGTTGTGAGCAATCCGACGTTTACATTCATTAGAACTGCCCTGCTTCCTGCCCTGCTTCATTAGAACTGCCCTGCCCTGATTTATTGCACCTCGACAACATGCTTACAAATATTCGTGTTGTGTTGCTTTGAAAATTATATTTACCTTTAAAAAAACTAAATAGTATTGATTGCTTCTGGTCTTTATTTATTTTTTATTGGTTAAATTTATTTGCCGGCTTCTCTGGGTGATTTACAATAGTAAAATGGAAATAATAATAATAATAATAAATTGTAAACGTAACTATAGCAAAGCAATGAAATCATAACAAAACCAAGGAAAGTAGAATACTATATTTTAAAATACAGGTGGGGGGGACAGGAAGTGCCAGGTCAGCTAATTAGTCAAGCAGCCACTCTTTTAGGGTTCTTTAGATTGGGATTAATCTCATTGTAAGGTCCCTGGCCCTTGGCAAAACCTGAGAAATCATAAAAACTCATCATGGAAACTCAAGCAGAGGCTTCTTAAAGAAACAGTACTTTTTATTCGATCGAATTAAGTCCTGGGTGGGAACACAATCTGAAATGCTGGCGGCAGGTGCATTGAGAAGTGCCCCACCTTAAAAAGTTAGTAGCATTACTTTATATAGCCAATGAAAATCAGACAACAGAGTTATTACAATATAAGGAAGACATTAATCATTCCTGTACACTCTTTTATTCCCTCCTTCAGTGCATCCCATCCGTGTCCATGTTTTCCCACGCTTGCATGAAATTGGTCCCTGACGCAAGCGCTGATTACAGAAGCGAGATAGCAATAGTTAGGCAAGGCTACACGATTTGTTTCTTTTTCCAGTTCCAGTTGCAGAACCCTACATCATGAAAATACCTTATTTTCCGGATGGTGCCGACGTTATTGGTTTTCACCCGAAACACATCTGTTTTACTTCTTTCAAAGGCAGAACTGCTCCTGAAATAGATGGGTCATCATAATGAAATATAATGAAATCAGCACATTCTACCTATGAAATAGTAAGTTAATTGTGGGATAATAATAATAATAATAATAATAATAATAATAATAATAATAATAATAATAATAATAATAATAATAATAATAA